AGCTGTAATGGTTGTATTGATGTATAGCAACTTGAAATGCTCCCAAAAATGGCACCACAGCTTGTAAAAATATAATATAAGCTCTGGCGGACTTGGTTCTATGGTAGGTCTTAAAGGGTTAAGATGTGGGAGTGGAGTGAATTTATGTGTCATTTAAATGGTTTAGGTGGTCAGTAAGACTGGAAAATCGTTATAAATAAAGCACCTTTAAAGCCAGATAGGAAAGCTAACAAAGAAGATTCATCAGTATCAGTACCACTGCAATAACTATGGTCTATCTCTTAACAGATTATCTTTCGGAAGATCAGTGATGTGAAACGTGAAGAGGAAGAGATGCTGAAAAGGAAGAATGAGGCTCCTCTCAACCTCCCGCCAGACCACCCAGTTCGACGACTCTTTCAGCGTTTCCGGCAGCAGAAGGAAGCCCGTCTCGCTGCTGAGCGGGGTAGTCCGGCCACTGGTGATGTCGAGAAAGGTGTTATTCAGGAGCCATCCAGAGGTCCAGAGAGGCTTGCCTCTACTAGTATTGTCATAGTAACTGAGAACCAAGCTGCAACCACCAGTTCCTCCACATCTTCATCATCCACGGCATCCAGCCAAGCCGTGTTTCATGTTCCCGGCATCCAAAATGGCAGCCTAACTGGTTGCAAATCTGCAGAGCCACCCAAAGCTAAAGGGTGGGGACGTTTCAAAGAGTCAGTTGTGAAAGCTGAGTCGTGGAGCAGTGTCTCCAAGGCTGAGTCCATGGAAATGCTGACAGATAGAACTAAGAGTCACAACGAGGTGTCTCTAAGGAAAACAGATTCATGTGACAGTGGCATCACAAAGAGTGATCTCCGCTTAGATAGTGTTGGCAGTGTCAGAACACCACAGGAGCGGAGCCCAGACCAGTCTGATGAAAAGAAGGTCTTTTGTCCAATACCAGAGCAGAGTGTGCAAGCGTCTATCCTCGAGTTCAAACAAGAATTAAAAGGAGACATCAGAAATCTGAACAGTCGCATGACAGTGCTGGAGACACAGCTTACAGAGGTGCTACGACTTCTTAAATCAAGGAAATCATCTGGGTCCTTTTTCGAGTTCTCTCGGCCACCATCTCCTGACTCTGATAAGGACAGCTTCAATTAAATTAGATGGCTCGGATACATACATAATTGTGGTTAATGATGATTCATCGTTGTCATATCATACTCAGCATACTCATCCTATGCTGTCTGTATGGTATCATATACCATATGATACCTGGGACATAAAGACAGCAAAAGCACCTTTTATGTTTTCAGCATTACGTTTCTTTTTGAGATAGTCAGGTCCATAAATATTGGGACACCGACACATTTCTGGCTCTATACACCACCACGATGGATTTCAATGGAATGAAACGAGCAAGATGTGCTTTAACTGCAGACTGTCAGCTTTTATTTGAGGGTATTTATGTCCAAATCAGGTGAACAGTTTGCATATGTGCCTCCCAAAAGTAATGGGACAGAATAAGAATCATAGATCAAACTTTCACGTTTTAATACTTGGTTGCAAATCCTTTGCAGTCAAATACAGCACACACATAGACATCACCAGACGCTGGGTTTCATCTCTGGTGATGCTCTGCCAGGCCTCTACTGCAACCGTCTTCAGTTCCTGCTTGTTCTTGGGGCATTTTCCCTTCAGTTTTGTCTTCAGCAAGTGAAATGCATGCTCAATTGGATTCAGGTCAGGTGGTTGAACTGGCCATTGCAAAACAGTCCACTTCTTTCCCTTCAAAAACTCTTTGGTTGCTTTTGTAGTATGCTTTGGATCATTGTCCATCTGCACTGTGAAGCGCCATCCAATGAGTTCTGAAGCATTTGGCTGAATATGAGCAGATAATATTGCCCGAAACAAAGGTCACCAATATGTAGCCACACATCTGAAAGCATATTGATTTGCTCTCTTAATATTTAGACTGTAGTATTGATATTGTAACCTTTGCCTTTTTATTTTATTTTAAAAAGGCAAAGGCATATTTTAACCTGTGCTGCTTTTGTCAGCAGTCACATCATCAAATACAAGAGAACCAGTTCCACTGGCAGCCATACATGCCCACGCCATGACACTACCACCACCATGCTTCACTGATGAGGTGGTATGCTTAGGATCATGAGCAGTTCCTTTCCTTCTCCACACTCTTCTCTTCCCACCACGCTGGTACAAGTTGATCTTGGTGTCATCTGTCCATAGGACAGAACTGTGAAGGATTTTTAGAGGGTGTTTGGCAAAATCTAATCTGGCCTTCCTGTTTTTGGGGCTCACCAATGGTTTACATCTTGTGGTGAACCCTCTGTATTCACACTGGTGAAGTCTTCTCTTGATTATTGACTTTGACACACATAAACCTAAGCGTTTTTTTTTTATTCCCTCCCTATTCCCACCTACTAATAATCTGAATACATAGTGTTTGTGCATCACAAGGCTGTAGTTTTACCTGTGGCATGTGAGGTGACTTCAAGATGCAAATTAGACAAAAAAAAGTGAAGTGGTACAGAATACTCTAGGCAGCTATCATATTTAAAGCAAGGGCCACAAAAGTTAACTTGGTAAGCTTTTACTATAACGAGATGATCAGAGCCAACTTGCTAATGCTGGTGCTATCTTGACCAATATTGTCAATATAGAACACTTTGTTTTTCCCTTTTGCTCTGTTTCTGGTTACTTTTTTCATTCTAGAAAATAGATAAAGATAGGATTTTTATAAAGTATATGATGTTGTTGTTCTGAGCTGGTTTTAACTGACCTTATGTCATAATCTTTGTCTTTGACTTTTTGTAGAATCCTATGTGTTTCTAAAATACATGCAGAGAGTATTGTACACTTAATAAACTACTGATTTGTTTGTAAAGAAGCTGAGGTACTGGACACTGAATGGTAACACAGTTAGGCTTTTACTGCCTAGATGCTTTCTGTTGTCTTTAGATAGTTCACACTCTGAAGGTGAAGTTTTATTTATGTCATAAAACCTGCTCAACCTACTGTAGATTATGTGTGTTGTTGCTTCAAGGGATTTATTAAAATGAATAGATGCCCTCACGTGCAGCAAGGGGCCTTAAAACGAATTAAAAAAGAAAACGCAATCCACATGTAAGATAAGATAAACCTTTATGAGTCCCACACGTAGGAAATCTTTTGGTCACAGCAGAAAGCACAAGTTAAGAGCAGTAAAAATAAAAAAAAAATAAAATAAAATAAATAATAGAATAGAATAAGATATGATAAGATAACATACTATACAAAATATTAAAAAGCTAAAATGAGGATTAAATTTAAGGTCTTATGTAATTAATATCACACAAATAGTTAAAGCTGCATTCATTCATATTTGACACCATTTTGACAGAAAGATTTTAAATAATGTCTCTTCATTTAGATTACTGGAGCTATTGAATAAGATATTTCTGTGTATGTCAGTCAGTGCCTCCTTCAGGAGAGACGTGTTTTCTCTCTTCTGACCCCTAAATCTTTGTTGAAATTTACTATTTAATATGTAATTTAAAACAGTTCCTATGAAAAAAAATCACTTGCCAGATATTCTTTTACTTTACCTTACTTTAGCAAAGACTGTTTTACTTCTGTTAAGGTTTTTGTGTTTTCAGTCAACATAACTTGTTGATACTTTTAAGCCACCACCCCTGGACCACTACTTCTGTTTGGGCAGTTCATCAACTCTCATTAGTTTCTTTTTTTCTTTCTTTCTCTTTTTTTTCGTTCACTAATATTAAGGTGTGTTCACAGCAGTGAAAAATTCCAGGCCACAATAACATTTTAGATTA